GCAGGGTTTTTTGCTCTTTTGGTCCTGGTCATAAGTTTGTTCAGTTGCAGCCGTCTCCTTTTCTGGTGATGTATGAGTTTGCTACTTTCCGGAGGGGTCTTTGAGTTGTTGATGCTTGGTTGGTCAGACCGGGGTGCATCATGTGGTGTTTGGTTTCAGCTCTCCACCATTGTCTACGCATCTTGGCCTCTCTGGCCGTGGCTGTGCTTTAGGTTGGCCGGGTTCCCTTCCCTCCTTCCTATTACAGGGTTCGGGTCTCCCAGGTCGTCCGCAGGGTCCTTTGGTTTTGCTTGGTTTTCTTCGGGTGTGTGGCATCCGCCACCTGGGTCCTTCCCTCTTTTCTTTATCTTTGGTGAGGTAGCTCCGGGGAGCCAATGGGGCTTCCCCCAGAAAACCAGCATTGAATGTAATGAAACGCCATTTTCTGGGCGAGTCACGGAGGCTCCCCGGTATCCCTCCCTATCTCCGGTCGTCGGTGTTTTTCGCGTATTCTTACATCCAGCCAAAGAACTGGTGAGTGGATTGCCGACAGGAGGGTCTGGGGCTCCCCTTTCCCCCTCCTGGGTAGTGGGAGGATTGCGCAGACAGCGGCGCGGTTGTTTGATGGCATCAAGTTCGTTTGTTAATTTTCGTTTGGGGAGTTCTGTCCACTCGTTCGGCTTTCGGTAGCAATTTTTCACCAGAATAGGGGTTTGTTTTGGGGTGCCTACTTTTCTGGATGCCAGACATAGAATACTCCCAACCACAAGAGGGTTTCTATAGGACATTGCTCCTCGTGCCTCTCTGAGGGAGCCAGGTTCTGGCCGTCATCCCCGGTAGGCAAGAACTCCATGCACATTGACTGATGCCAGAAAGTTGTACATATCCATATCAGCCTGGATAGCTCCGGGGAGCCTCTTTGACTCACTTAGAAAATGGCGTTTCATTACATTCAACGTTGCTTTTTTCGCCTTAACAATGGTCAATATTTCTTTTGGCATTCATCAATATTACATTGTAATGGTTGCCATCACTAAACAATTATATATTTTTTGGTTTATTTTTCATTTAAAATATATTACAAAAGTAATCGCCTTGCAAAAGTAAAAAAGAATACAAAATAAATATGAATCTCTCTTAGTCTAGGTAAGTGCTACAATTGTCATATTATGATGACTCAGAGCTGAAGTCCATATAAATCCAAAGTATTTTTTTTTTTATCCTCCCATGATTTCTGGGAGATACCATTGAGCTATTGGAATAGGGCAACATCGGTATTCAAATAATGACACAAAATGTACCTCATCATCTTCTGACATTACACACAGTCAACATGGAATAATGCCAGCACTTTAAGGGCTAATCTAATAATCATCATTCAAATCAATTCAAATAGAATAACCTCGGTTATTTTTGGTAAGTCACAACCTAAAATTAAAAATCAAAGTACTGTCTCCACTCGATCATCCGGACTATATGGGAAGGACCCCCAGCCGGATTATCACATTTTTCGGATAATGGTACTTTTTCACCTACGAGTCCAAAAGTGACCATTTCCAACTATTTTTATACTACAAACAACATAATTTGAATTGCCTTGCCACATACAATTATTAAATATTCAACTAGAAACCTCAACTTACCTTGTTGGTGTTCGTCTTCTTGATTGATGCCACACATCTTGAAGTTAAAAATTCTTAACAATTTACGTAACCTATACTAACACAACACTAAAATTAACACTTAAAATTACTGTACAGTTCATTAAGCTAAGTTAGTTTTGACTGCCAGCTGCTGAAGCCTCACTGGTTGAGGGCATTTGGGTTGCCTGTGAGGCCTCACTTGTTGAAGGCGCTTGCTTGCACCTCACTTGTTGAAGCGCTTGCATGCCCTCACTTGTTGAAGGCGCTTGGCTTGCCTGTGACGCCTCACTTGTTAAAGGCACTTGCTTGCGCCTCACTTGTTGAAAGCGCTTGGCTCCCCTGTGGCACGTCACTTGTTGAAAGCGCTTGGCTTGCCTGTAATGCCTCACTTGTTGAAGGAGCTTGGCTTGCCTGTGGCGCCTCACTTGTTGAAGGCGCTTGGCTGCCTGTGACGCCTCACTGGTTGAACAACACGTAACTTGTCTTTAATTGCTAGGACAATCTTCTTCCTCTTAACACTTCCAGAACGATTGATGCTGCTACCAGACATATTCTTGGCCAAAAATGTTCAAAATTACTATGAAAATTAAGAAAGTTATTTAAAAAAATATTTCACTAATGGCGAAACACTGTGAGGCCGCACTGGTTGAGGTGTATAACAGTAACTTGTCTTTTATTGTTAGGACAACTTTCTTCCTCTTAACACCTACAGAACAATTGATGCTGCTACCAGACATAGTCTTGGCCAAAAATGTTCAAAGTTACTATGAAAATAAAAAAGTTATTTAAAAAAATATTTCACTAATGGCGCAGCACTGTGTATAACACGAGGGACGGACGCACATGGGTTGACCAGTGTTGGACGGGTCCACTTGGAGTGGGGCAGCTATAGCGCGTTACGTAGGCCGCCAGAAGGAAAAAAATTCACAATATTTTTGAAGGAAACTTCAGCCTGTGCACAATGCTTTTAGGAAACTTATTTATTTGTTATTACATAATTACTAGTACTTATTTCATTTGTTTTTGGCTATGATTAATTGTTCTAAAATTAATGGTAATTCCTGTACCCAAGTGGTCCCTCCTGACGCACCCCTCCCACCCTCCCAACACCACCCACCCCACCCCCTCCTTCACCATGCGTCTAGAGCCACAGACGGGATTAATACGGTATGGCCGTATTTTCATCCAGCCAAACCAGCTTTTATCCGGTTCCTGTGGCCATTTTGGCCGGATATTGTGATAACTTTATCCGATCACGATTTTGGCCGTATAAGGGCGTTTTCCGGATGTTTGAATCCCGGATAATCGCGGGGTTACAGTACCTTTCATAAATAATCTCGTCACTCAGAGATAAGGACAATCTTTTAAGCATTCACAGATACCCATACTACAGATTGCCTAGACAGTGAAGCTTGGACTACTAACGTATATCTATGCAGTTAATAGAGCAGATAGGACCTCATGCAATAGGTCTGTGTTAAAGACACTTCACCTGCTCAGAACTCGTACATTTCTCGAATAATGTATTTGAAATGGTAAGAATCAAGAGAACAAAAGCTTAATAAGTATCCTCTATAGTCTATACAAATTCCCAGATGCAGCAGCTGAAGAACTGGCTGGGCAGAAGAGGAATATAGAAAACGTGTTGGAAAACCTAGAAAATCCAGTACCAAGTACTAAGTTCCTAGGGGACAACCTAACAAATCTAAGGTGCAAGACAATATATAATAGTAATACACAGTACTAGAAAATTTGCCAGGAAATAGATAAACTAGAGCACGCTGGGGCTAATGAGTCTGTGAGAGATTTACATTAAACAAACAGATGGGTGGGGGGGGGGGGGGGGAGAACAAAACAAGTCATAACCTAGAATGGAAATGCAGAGGCTTTCACAGACAAAATTAAATTGCTGAAATGCTCAAGTGGCTGCAAATGTTTCAGCAAAGGAAAATAACCCTTCAGAGAGATCACAGAAATAGAAGACAAACTAAAATACTCTTATTAGATTGTTGAAATGACTAAAGAATAGAAATCCACACAAGAAAATTTAATAAATCTAAAATATTTTGTCATGTTTGCAAAAAGCAAATAAGACCCCCTCCCCTTATTTAAAAGATGAAATGTGTGTGTGCTGATGATGACAAATTTATGAATCCTGAATGAACAGTATGAATATTAAGCAATGCAAAGGACAGTAGGACACGATGAAAGTAGGTGTGAAAGATCAACATCGTTAAAATGTTTGAGAGGGTGCTAATTACAGTACCAACTTTATGGAAATGACCAAACAATATTCAGGCAACCTGTGATATACATAGTATTACAATATGCATATTTGAAGTTTCATTGGCAAGTCCCTTACTAAGTTTTGGAAATGCATGGATAAATTCCAGTCACACAAGTTGAGAATTGTTTAGTGTGGATAATCCATGCTAATTCTCGGGTCTGCCACATTCCTGGTGTTATCTTTTGAGCACTTTGTGCTTCATTCAACATCCCAAGCATTCTGGACTTCATGATGTGCTGAATTTGTGGCTTTAAAGAAGAAAAATCATTTAAGATAAATTTGTTTTCTCAAGTAAAATCGAAAACAAGGACTCTTGTGAGTCTATGGTACCCAACCTTAATTTTCCTAAATATAGTACCTATAACCCCTAATGTATGGCAGTGGTTTTAAACCCAAATACACCTATGTACTAAAATAAAAAATCATGATTATGTGCAGTTTCCTTAGTTCTCATTGATACATACATTCTTTCATTAATTGATAGTCACTCATTCATGCATACATACCATCTACACATGCTAATCTGAATGTTATGGGGTTCGTGCCCCTGCGAGAGGGTGGACTTGTGTATTGGCCTACTTTTTTTTTACCAGAAAAGTATAAAAATTAACGTATTTGTAATTTTTGTACCACCACCAACATAATTCATATTTTCATATGTATTGAACATAAATTTACACGGTTAGTAATTTATTGACAACAGAAATTTCATCGTGTTGGAGTTCGTCAGCTTGCTTGATGAAGGGCTTCAATATTGCTCATTTACCTAACCTAACCTAACCTTTACTACCCAGGTTCCCTCACTAGAACACATCCAGGTTACAGCAGTGAATAATGAAAATTGGTAAAATGACTGACATGAAGTTAGAAAACTATCCAGTTAGGGCTTTAATTCTTGTTATAAAAAATCATTAGTTAACTAAACAAAAATTAAAACTTTAAATTAAAAATACAAACAGGTACAGTTCTTTTTAAGCTAGATTAAATGTGGATGTGGCCATGTTATTAATTAGTGAAATTTGAGAACTAATAAAACAGGTCGGAATGCGTCAAGTACTGTATTAAACAAATGTCTATCTTTTTTTTTCCAGTTCCTTTAAACTGTTTTTGGAAGTGGAGCCTCAATTACGTGACATCATTTTTAAGTTCTACGAGTCTAAATATGCCTCCTGCCTCAAACTTTTAGATGAATTAAAGGTAAGCAAGTCATTATGGTGTAATTATTATTATTAAGGGTATATGGTGGAACCTTTGGACATTAATCACAATGTGGGTATTTGTCATTAATCATATTCGTGAGTCCCTGAGGGACTCAGGAATATGGAAACTGACGAATATAGAAATGGATTTTCCCATAAGAAATAACCGAAATTCAGTACTGTACTGTACTTTAATCCGTTCCCAGTACCCCTCCCCCCCCCCCCCCAAAAAAAAATAATACATAAATAAAAATTTAGCCAGAACTTTACCTTTACTGTACTGAGGAGAGATGAAGAGGTAGCTGAAGAGGAGGAAAGGAATTATATATTGTTTAGAAGGAAAGTCGCCTTCCATTAAAACATCGGGTAATTGTGGTAATCGTTGTTGTTCTCCCTTTATTGATGACTAACTAGCACTCAGCGTAGCAAAGAACTTATCCAGTGCTGTCCATTTCTGTCTGTTTATTAAAACTTTCATTGAGTAACCAATCATTTATTACAGTAACAGTAGAAGTCTAAGAAATAAAATTAACGAATTAAATGCTCTTGTCTGCACAGAAAAAATAGATATTATTGCACTTACCGAAACGTGGATGAATGTAGAAAATAGAGAACTATTAGCTGAATATCAAATAAATGGATTTAAACTATTTCACACAGATAGATATATTAGACGAGGAGGGGGAGTAGCCATATATGTTAGGGACAATTTGAAATGTAGTCTCAAAGAGGGAATCAAAACTGAGCCACACACAGAAACTATTTGGATAGAATTAAACGAAAAAGCAAATAATATTATAATAGGAGTTATATATAGGCCACCAAATTTAGACAGAATGGAAGCAAAGCATCTATGGGATGAAATATCTAGAGCATCTAGATCTAACAGTATTTATGTCATGGGTGACTTTAATTTTAGTGGAATAAACTGGGTGAACAAAACAGGGAATAGTGAAGCAGAAGATTTTCTAGAATTAATTGACGATTGCTTTCTTACGCAACACATTAAGGAACCAACGCGGGAAAATAATATTTTAGATTTAGTGTTAACTAATAGGGAAACACAAATTAATGACATCGAAATAGGGAGTGAGCTCGGGAACAGTGATAACAAAGTAATCAGATTTAGCATAGAATGGAATAGACCTGTAGGAGAAAATTCTGTTAAAGTGCCAGATTTTCGAAAAGCGGATTTTAATAGCCTAAGAAATTTTTTGGGTCAAATAGATTGGAAAGTCTTGGGTATGGGGGTGTGGGCCGGTCTTAGAGCGAGACATGAACCCAGCGATAGGTGACGTAAAAGGGGATTTCGATGTGGATTTAATATATAACTTATTTAAGAATATTCTAAACAAAGCACAGGAATGTAGTATACCATACAAATTTAATAGATCGAATACTAATGACCCAAAGTAGATAACAAATAATTTAAAAAACCTTATAGGTAAAAAGAGAGCTTGGTACAAAAGGATTAAGAATGGGAAAGTCAGTTTAGAACAGGAATTCATACAACTGGTTAGAAATGTTAAAAAAGAGATTAGGAAAGCAAAAAGAAACTATGAAGTTTGCATAGCAGAGCAAGCAAAGTCAAATCCTAAAGGGTTTTTTCAGTTATATCGAACTAAGACTAGGGAAAGGATAGGTCCATTAAAATCTGAGACAGGTCAAATAACGGATAATGACAAGGAGATGTGTAGTATTTTTAACAAATATTTTATATCTGTATTTACTAAAGAAGAACTTAACAATATGCCTTCAGCCGAACAAGTCTATGTGGGTGGGGATGAGGACAGGTTGACTAGTTTAGCAGTTACCAGAGAGGATGTAATTAAAAATTAGAAAAACTCAAACCAAACAAATCCCCAGGGCCGGATGAAGTGTTTGCCAGGGTGCTTAAAGAATGCAAAGAGGAGCTTTCCGAGCCACTGTCTACCATACTTAATAAATCAATAGAGTCAGGCAGAGTGCCAGAGTCATGGAAGGTAGCTAATGTGGTACCAATTTTTAAGAAAGGAGATAGATCACTTGCGTCAAACTATCGGCCAATTAGCCTAACGTCTATTGTGGGGAAAGTTACTTGAATCAATAATTGCAAATACAATTCGTCTCCATCTTGAAAAACATAAATTAATAAATGAGTCGCAGCACGGTTTTACAAATGGCCGTTCATGTTTAACAAATTTGCTAACTTTTTATTCCAGCATAGTTGAGGCAGTTGATAGTGGTAAGGATTGTGATGTTGTGTACCTTGACTTTAGCAAAGCTTTTGATACAGTGCCACATGAAAGACTAATTAAAAAAATAGAAGCTCATGGTATTGGGGGTGCTATATTAACTTGGATTAGGGCATGGCTATTCCAAAGGAAACAGAGAGTTAGTATAAATGGGGTTAAGTCAGAGTGGGATAATGTTGTTAGTGGAGTACCTCAGGGCTCTGTCCTGGGACCTCTGTTGTTTATAATATGTGGGATAATGTTGTTAGTGAAGTACCTCAGGGCTCTGTCCTGGGTCCTCTGCTGTTTATAACATATATAAATGATTTAGATTCAGGTTTGAGTAGCAACATTTGCAAATTTGCCGATGATACGAAAATCGGTAGGGAAATTAATTCGGAGGAGGACTCACTATCACTTCAAGTTGATCTAGATAGGGTTTTGAAATGGTCAAAGGATTGGCAAATGCAGTTTAATGCTGATAAATGTAAAGTTCTGAGGCTAGGTAATGATGATAGAGTTACAAGATACGAGCTAGATGGTGTTGAGATTGCGAAGTCGGATTGCGAAAGGGATCTGGGAGTTATGATTAGTAAGAATTTAAAACAAAAGGATCAATGCATGAATGTTCGTAATAAGGCGAATAGGACACTCGGATTTATTAATTGAAGCGTTAGTAACAAGACACCTGGTGTGGTTCTCAAGCTATATCTTGCTCTGGTTAGGCCCCATTTAGATTATGCAGTTCAGTTTTAGTCGCCGTATTATAGAATGGATATAAATTCACTTGAACGTGTCCAACGTAGGATGACTAAGTTAATTCCCCAAATTAGAAATCTTTCATATGAAGAAAGATTAACAAAGCTTAAGTTGCATTCACTGGAAAGGCGAAGAGTTAGGGGTGACATGATAGAGGTTTACAAGTGGATGAATGGACATAACAGGGGGGATATTAATAGGGTATTTAAAATATCAACACAAGACAGAACACGAAACAATGGGTATAAATTGGATAAGTTTAGATTTAGGAAAGACTTGGGTAAATACTGGTTCAGTAACAGGGTTGTTGATTTGTGGAACCAATTGCCGCGTAACGTGGTGGAGGTGGGGTCCCTCGATTGTTTCAAGCGCGGGTTGGACAAGTATATGAGTGGGATTGGGTGGTTATAGATAGGAGCTGCCTCACATGGGCCAATAGGCCTTCTGCAGTTACTTTTGTTCTTATGTTCTTATCACATTATCATTTATTGCATTTATTTTTTGCTTAATTATAAGAATATTTGGGGGCCACTTTTCGAACATATTCTGAGTTTTGGCCCAGTTAAATAACATTTCCTTAATGTCAGCACTATGGATGGTGACGAATATGGAATTTCGTTTCAAAAGCAATGAATATTGAATCTGATGAATATAGGGCTGACAAATACAGTATTGAGGTTCCACTGTATTTAATCATCTTATTGCTCTCATTGCATATGGTCTTGCTACTATTAAATAAAATTGATAAGATCCACTTCAACTGTGTTATCAAACACAACTGTTTTTAATGTAAATTAAATTGGTTGATATGCAATGTGAAATGAAAAACATTCACTTCAGAAAGATTTAAGTTGCATCTGTTCAAAGCACTTGCCTGAATAGTTCTTTTCTCAAGAGTTTCTTGTCAGCCCCATTTGGGCTCATCTTTCCAGCACCTGTGTTGTTTTCATCCAGTGCCTAATTATGATTAACTAGGCAACTTGTGCCTCTGTTATATTCCTGGATAAACCCGTCGGTTCATGGACAGAGGGCAGTCTGTCCTTGGTTTTCTTCCTCAAATAATATGAGTGGAGACAAGTTACCATACAATTCTGAACTTTTGTGTGGTAATTATTAAGAGACTGTGTTGTTGGCTCCAGGAAGCCGGTCGACCGAGCGGACAGCACGCTGGACTTGTGATCCTGTGGTCCTGGGTTCGATCCCAGGTGCTGGCGAGAAACAATGGGCAGAGTTTCTTTCACCCTATGCCCCTGTTACCTAACAGTAAAATAGGTACCTGGGTGTTAGTCAGCTGTCACGGGCTGCTTCCTAGGGGTGGAGGCCTGGTCGAGGACCGGGCCGTGGGGACACTAAAAAAAAGCCCTGAAATCACCTCGAGATAACCTCAAGATATTGGCTGTTCTAATTAAGTTTTAGTAAAATTATTAGTTTTTAATAATTTACTGCAATTCAGCCCTGAATTGTCATTTGTTTGATCAGTCATATGAAGAGTACCTTGCCAAATTATTTTGCTCACAAAGATGTGGGCGAGTGAATTTCAACCCAATTTAAATCAAATAAATGTATTGACTATTCTACAGAGGCCATCCCACTTCCGAACTCCTTGCGATTGAATCATAAACATATTATACTGAAGAAGTATTATCAATGTTAGTTACACAATAAAGGTCCACAACAAAAATCTTAGAATGATGAGATGACTGGGTGAAAACAATGGCAACTAGACTCCCAGCATCAGTAAAACTCTTAAGTCCACCAATCAGAGGCTAGCATCTTTATAGCCTTTCCACTGATTGGTTCCTTCCAAGAGTTCATCTGACATCACCAGAGTCAGCTGAACTCTGACTCATCTGACTGGGATTGGGATTACAGTCTCAGCTCTCAATGGTCAGGCCAGATACTACTGTAAGTTGACACTAGATGATGGCAGCTATTCAAGGACACTCAGTTTGACTAGTGTCGAACCTGAATTCTCTTGCTGCCCTGTTCACATAGTGTTGCACATCAATTGCCTACATTTAGGATA